GTCGCGAGCATGTATTAAAAATATCTTCTAGATACTTTAGAGGAAGTAGCTCAAAGCAGAAGTTGAGCCCAGCAGCAGCGGCAGCACTAGAAGTCGGGCTGCAGTGTGCCGTGCCGAAGGAATAAGATGTTGGCTACTGCTGCTGCTGCTACTGCTGCTGCTGCAGCCGTTGAAAAAAATGTTTTTATTACATTTCCCGCGCGTATTTTACGCTACTCACGAAATACTTGAAGCCAGCAAAGGCTCCCAGCATAGCAAACCAAGTCAAAATAAATAAATATCCAGCAGCAGAGGCAGGAAAAAAGTAGAGGTACATGGCCCCACGCTCTTCCTACCCAAGATACAACATCGACAACGGCAGTCACACCCACGCACAAAGCCGCGCGCATCAAAGCGTATTCACAAGTGGTCGGTCCTTCGCGCTTTGCTGATTCTCCCAAGGCCCAAAGGATATTTTCAGGCAGCAGTCCCTCGACGTTTTTTTTTCCACCTCCTGAAGGAGTTGTCTAGGAAACTTTTCTGCGAGCTACTCAAGTCACTGCTCAAGTCGCGCCACTGCCGCTAAAAGAAGCGCTAAGAAGCGAAGCCCACTCCACTTTTATCATATAAAATGCCGGCGAAAAAAAAATTAAACGGAAAATTGAATAAGATGGTACAAAAAAAAAAGAAATAAAGTGTAACCCGATACTCGGCAATGTCCTCTTGGATTTTCCGTTTAAGAAAAGCCTGGAAAATATGAACTCGCAGCTGAATTGTTGCGCGCTGCAGGGGGCAGGTTTCCAGTTGCCTTCGATATCTATTGAAAAATATCTTTCAATCAGATTATATGCATATACAGTATTTCAATGACAGTTCATCATCTACATATCATACATATCATTTATCACCTGCATGTATCATGGTAAGAAAACACAGGGTATTTAGAACCTGAACATTATATTTAATATATTTTTTATTTATATTTAATATCATAATATATTGTGGGTATTTTTAAATAATATTTTAAAAAAATAACACCAAAAATATGAAGCTTTCATGTTCGGAAAAACTAAAAATATATTTTAAAAATATTTCCCTGGTTTGTATAAAAAAAAAATTGTTTTTGTTAATAATCTTTTATGAACATTTTTTTAAATTAAAATTTCTTATGATTTTCAGAGCGATTAAAGCATAAAACGATTTATACAGTTTAAGATTTTTTTTGTAAGAGTATTCACTTGTGGACTTTGGAGCCCCATTGCACGCACTGGATCTCTGTGCAATCCATAAGTCAGCTACTACTTGGCAAAAACAAAATCTCTCATAGGGTACCGTCTCTGGGTGCCCGACAAAAGCCCTCAACAGACCTGTCGCCATTTAATAGAATTTTTTCTGCAGCTTCCAGAGGGACCCAGTTACTACCGCTGCCACTCCATCCTTTGCCGCCGATTTTCCACTTTCCACTCGCAAGGCTTGGCTCTGGCTCTGGCGGTGACTCTGCGTTTTTTTTTTTTTTTTTTGTGAATGCAGATTATGTTTTCATTAAATTATGGTAGCTATGGTTACTTTTATACAATCCAAAGCTACTTCAAACACGAGAGTGGTGCGTGCCCAACCCGTGTCGACCCCATCGCCACAGACTCCGCCCCCCGATAGCGAGGCAGCAGGGTGGCATACCCCAAGACGACGAAAGCGAAAAAAGTATTCGCACAATAGAACGCGCTGTACGGGGGTATGGGGTGGTTGGGGTGTTTGGGGTGTTGTGCTCTAGGGGTAGTCAAAGAAAATTGTAGTTTATTTTTATTACATTTACTCGTATTCCACGACTCCCATTCCCCCATTGCCAGCCCAGCCCAGCCCCCTCCTACTTGCATTCGCATTCTTTTCCATGCATTTGCATGCGTCGTGATCGTGACATGTGCGAAGCAGTGCGAAACGGAGCGGAAATGGAAGATGGCGCTTCTTATTTTCGTTCAGAGTGGAATGGAATGTTGGTTTCCGCATCACGTTTGAATCGTACAAAACGAAAATATTTACGATGATAGGTTATTAATTTACATATGTCTGAGCTGTAGTTTATGTGTTCCTTCAATGTTCAGAGATCATCAGGGATTTCCACTTAGATAACTTGGAGCTATAGAAGATATATCCTTAAGGGTATTCGAAACTCAGATCAGCGGAGGGTATCCTTTCCTTCCAGCTTCCTGCCTTCCTTCCTTTCAAATTGACACGACTGCCTCCGTGTGTGCGTGTGTGTGGAGTCGTTACTACTGCTTCTCCGGGAGTTTTCGCTAGTGCGGCACGTACATTTATTACTTTTGCCTCACCCTTCTCCACGCACACACGCCCCAGAAGCCAGTGTGAGTCGCAGTCTTTTCTCCTACAGATGCATGCAAAGCGGTTTTCATTTTTTATTGCGAAAATGTACCGTGCCGCATTCGAATTGGTTGCTTTGACTGGCGCCTTCTCCTTCTGCGTCCCAGACTCCGGCTCCCGGCAGCCTTTTCGGCACCGCCATCGCTTTTAATGTTAACTTTTTCCGTGCCTGTGCCCCACTTGCGAAGAAATATGAAAAATATTCGTAATAGAGTTGTTTGAAATGTACAATAAGCATTCAAGTGGCTGCTCCGAATGCCAGGGCGAGCTGGGGAGTGATGTGCCGGGCGAGCCCCAGCATATGCACATTACGAAAGCGCGTAAGTACGGGGAACTACCGTTAATGTGGAGCCAGAGCACCGCTCATCTGGCCAAAAAGGAAATGGGCGCCAAATCAGAAATCGGAAATGTAAAAGAATATAAAAAAGGGAATAGCCAGCTGCCTCTCTTATTCCCATTATAAAAATTAAATAAATAAGAAAATTAAATTCAAGTAGGTTACCTTAAAAATGAGCTAGAAATTCAACCATCAATTGAATACGATCTTGAGATATATATATATAATATATATTCTCTTTAATCCCCTAACTTGCTCCACTGTGGATCCAAACGACTCACATCCATGAGCTCTTCTCACCGTAAATGCAGCATTCACACCACCTACCGCCCTGTTGCATATGAAAAAGTTCAGTGTCTGACGGTATGAGATACGAGTATTCCGTGCATGATAGTGTGGGGGGGGCATAGGGAAATTTTTAATAATTTCTGCATCTTCAACACTGTGAATAAAAATGGTTGCTTTGATGGCGGCGGCAGCAGCGTAACTAACAATAAAACTTTTTAGTGTGAAGCGGCGGGGACAAAAATATGGACACATATGAAGTCATAAAGTCATATTAACACGTACGAATGCGCACAGGATATTAATGTGCACTGCTCGCTGGCAGCGACGCACCGACGAACACATGCATACCGAGTGGCAGACACAGACACAGATACTGCCACAGCGCACTGCCATAGACCAGTCAGAACGGGGCATAGTTTTTATACGCCAAGTTGCCCGACCTTTAGTGCTAATATAATTTCATATATTGTGGTTAAATTTCAGCAAAGAGAGGAAATGAGCTTCAGTTTTGACGGGGCCATCGCTGGGTCTGCCAGCCGACGCAAACTAATTTCAACCAATGCCCCTACTAGACTAGTAGCAGCCCGGAACAATTCTGCAATCCACAAAAAACTTTATGAATTACAGAAGCTGTGGAAAAACAAAAACCCAAAAAAAAAAACAACAATAATACCAGCGCCAAACAATGCCATCCGCTGACCACAGCTAAGAGATTGCAATGAAACAAAACGCACTCGGAATTGTTTCTCGTTTTTTTAAACAAATTTGGCGCCCGCACAAGAGTTTCGTTCTCCGGCCAGTCCTCGGAGGCCCCACTAAAAGGGGACCCATCCGCACAATACAAACGGAATCGAGTCCATCTGGGCATGGGATTCCCATCGGTCCCCAGAGCGGAAGGCGGGGGGCATCCAATCATTGACTTTTTTGTTTGAACAATCCGAAAAGTGATTTTGGTCATGCGAATGAAACACTGACCTCTGAGCCCACACATACGAGGTGAGCTCGGCTAATAGCATTTTATTTATATTTACTATCCATTGAAAGCTATGGGAAAAATAGCAATTACGTGTCTTGAGCTTCATTATATAGTACATGGGGGTAATCGATCCGAAGAAATGTCTGTCATCATTTCGAAACAAACCTATTAATGGCCGGCCCTTATCGGAAAGGTGATCTCCTCCAAGTGGTTAGGTGAAGCATTAAATTGGCTGTATATCTCGGTATTAAAGACCCTTAGTTCACTCATTTAATGAAGATGTTTACGTTGTCTTTTACCTTTAACCTGGAAATCGACTGGAAATTATATGTTGAAAACTAATAAATATAATTAACATATGCATAAAAATAGGTTATCATAACTTAATTTACATCTCAATGGTCAATTCGTGCCTACATATGTACACATACGTATGTACTTTAGGTACAAATATTGTTGCTAAAATAATTTAGAATATACATATGCAAATTTCATTCGAAAATCATTTTGGCATTCGCATCTGCTACTTTTGGACCCGCCCTCGCAGATACGAATACTTATACGCATACACTCATGACCACAAACGCCACCAAGCTTCCCGCCCCATGTGGGGTGCAGTCGGAGTAGGAGCCGAGACCGCGAGGCCACTTGAATGGGGCACAAGTGGCGGTGGCGTTGGCGGTGGCTGGACTCTGACTCTGCCTGCGACTGCAACATGGCCAGCGCCATCGAATCGCAACCATGGCAATAAATTGCTGCTCGCCTGGGGCCGAAGGCAGCAGCCAACTCAAGTTGAAATTGGTCAAAAGTTTAACATATTTGCGTGTGTGTCCGAATCGCATATTGGGTAATGGTCGTTTTTGGTGCATTTTCGGGCGGGCAACGACAACGACAACGGCAATGACGGCTGGAATGATTATGGAATGATGTGGCTCGTGTGGACCCCCGGAGCTTATGAGTTTTCATTTTTGTGTTAGGGTATTTACTCGAGTTAATGGTGATGGAAGGACGACGATTCCGGTTTAAACGTTTAATTAAAATCATAAGAAAAGTATTATTTGTGCTTAAAACGAAATAAAATCTTCATAGGGTTTTGTGCAAACTATAAAAATAATCAGATCACTAGACACGATTCAACAGTAACAATCTTAGGAACTAAATAATAATCAAATAAATATTATAACAATAGATTCGAGACTCAAGAATCAACAATAGCGTTATTCAGATTCGTATTATAATATGCATGTATATTTACTTCTACTTCAGTTTAAAGTTTAAACAATCAATGTAATTCATAGTTCTTCGAGCTCCTTTCAATATTTGGACTACTTTTTAGCTAAAACACATTTAACTTAACTACACGCTAGGCTTGTGCTTTAGAGTAGTAGAGGTACAGAATTGTTTCTGAGTATGCATTCATAATCATTTCATAAGGAACGTATTACGATCTAAGGCCTCGAGGCGAAAGGCGAAAGGCGGCGCCTAAGTACTACCGCGGCGTTGCATGGCAAGTCACGAACGATTTTTTTTTTTTTTGGTATTTGGTATTAGACTGTTGCAGGGTAGCATTCCTATCTAGGTAATACAATGGCGACACACAACCGTAGGAAAGCTTTGACTAGCACTGTAGAAATGTCAGCTGACGGGTTCGAGTAAATGACTAAGTTGGTGGCTGGAAGAAGCTTCCAGAACCGCCACTCCACTTCCAACTCTGACTAGCTAATAGCTACCAATGAGAGTCTACTGTATGGCACACACGGCCGAGGCGCCCGTGTATTGGTTATTCAAGCGACGTCGCATTCCCTCCAGGTAAATGTCCCGACTGAACAATCCAGCGGCCAAGGGAATCCTATAATGGAAGCGAAATAAGAGTTAATCTATGGATTGGATATGCAGCAAAACTTACGCGTCAGTTCCGGCACGGATGAGAGTTTTAAAGAGAGCCCACACCGGCTTATGGTCCGATGTGGTTATGGAAGGTACCGAATCGTACAGAAGGCACTCCACATAGGGCTGCGTCGGCGTGGACACGCCCGGTATTAAGGTCTGGCGACGTATGACCAGGCCCTGCACCTGCCTGTACTTGTAGAGGATTCTGTCCGTGTAGGCAGGAGCGCGCTGCTTTGAGGAGGTGTCGAAGTTCTGGCTACCCGGGTCGTACTTGTAAGTGGGTGGAAATGTTATATTCGCCTCCATGAACCCACGGAAGGCCGCACCGTCGGCCAGCACAGAGGAAAGTTGGTCCGTATGCATGTAACCGTGTGGCAAGTGCGAGGGCAGCGGGAACTTTGTGTTTTGAATCCACTCCATCAATTTCTCGCGCGGCTCGCCGAGTCGGAAGTTCAGGTCACCGCACCAGAAGACGTTGTCGAAGTTCTGCGTCACATCCTTGTTTTTGTGCCGAAGGTTGGGCAAATTTCGAGGCAAATCCAGAGCGTTAATAATGCGCTTCACATCCGACACCCGCTCCTTCACCTTCTGCTGGTGGGCGGTCAAGTGGGAGGTCACAAAGAGCATGGAAGTACCGAATAGGCAGAAGGATATAGCCACAGCACCCTTGGTGCGAAAGGCAGAGCCGGTGCGAACCGACATGGAGGCATCCTCCGGCGCCGAGCAGTACCAGATGAGATCGCGCCGCATGTAGACAGCCAGATGGAGGGTGCCCAGAGTGGTCGAATGAAAGAGCACATGCGAGGGGCCGAGGGTCTCCTGCAGCGTCACTTCCCACTCAAAACGATCCGGCGAGGACTCCTGCGTGCCCATCACAACAATGTCCGGCACATGCTCCACATTGGGCGGCAGCACAAAGTCATTCAATTGCCTGGAATTGTCAGCAAAGTTAGTGTCCGAAATGCGATGCGGATATTCACGTTTCTACTCACTTGGGTGGACTGTGACCATTCATGTTCCATGTGCCCACGAAAATGGTGACTTCCTTCTGCGGCAGCACGCGGCTCAGTTCGCTGGGCCCCAGCAGAGAGGAGGAGCCCAGACGCCCGTCCAGGTAGCTTCGTTCGCGTGCCTTGTCGGCAGGTATTAGGTTCAGGGCATGAGCAGCCACCAGCGCTTGACGTGCGAGATTAGAGCCAGAGCCCTGTCGCTGCAGCGTCATGTTCTCGTGCGACATGAAACGGACGCCGGGCTGCTCCTGCATGGGCGCTTCAAACCCATCCGGCTGGCTGGCTATGTTGGGCGAGGACATGTGCTGAGGCGTGGTGGCACGCTTAATGTCTGTGGACTCGTCAGTGGTGTGCAGTTGCGGCAGCTCCTTCCCGGGCGGATAAAGCTTGAGGCGGAGACGCGAGCGGCAGGCCGAGACTGCGATTGGCCGGATCGGAGAACGGGGCATGCTTTCACTTCGCGCCACAGCAGCGTAGGCCGATGCGCCGGCTGTGGCAGAAGCGACGACAGCGGCGTTGCTGCATTGGGCAAAGAAGGTGTTGGTGCCGACCGGCGATTCTGGTGCACTGGCGCACTCACTGGACAGACGTGGGCGCTGAAACGAAGTGCCGCCCTCGCTGGAGTGCAGCGAGACGGAATTGTTATCCACCATACTCCAGCTCAGCGATAGGTTGTCGCGACGCAGCACACTGTTGCTGTCCGGTATGGAATTGTAGCGGACCGTGACCGGCGGCGTCAGGGGTTTCTTCTCGGCCTTGCAGCAGAGACTGAACTGGTGGCTGAATCGGTTGTGGTTCGGCGACCGGTGCTTGGGCGACTTGCGACGCATCACAACGTCCGCGCCTCCATCGCTCTGCGAGCCCGCGTCACTGCTGTAGCGGTGGGCGTGTCCTTTGCTCTTTGACGGCGGCTTGGTACGCCTGTGGAAGCTTATCAGACCGCTGTGCGATTTCTCCAGCGGCAGAGTTTGGCTTTTGTGGTTGCTATTGCTGTTGTTGTTGTTGCTGCTGCTGATGACGGCAGCATGGTTTCCCGCTTGCTCCGCTGTCGCCTTGGCGAAGCTCACATCATAGTGGCCGCAGGCGGACACGGGACGTCGTTGAAGGCTTGGCGATTCGGGAGTTACGGGATGGGGCTCAACCTTGCTGGGGCGCTTGGTCAGCAGCCCGAAGAGAGAGCTGCCCGTCTTGTGGCCAGAGCGGGGGCTGCTGGTGGAGCTAGTGATGCGCTCCTCGCTGCCAGCGCTGCTGTGCTGCATGGCGTACGGAGTCACCAAAGTCGCCAAAAAGTCTTATCAAATCACGTTGTTTGTTGGTCTTGATCTTCCTTGCATCACGAGGTTAGCTCAACCTCTGCCGGAGGAAGGCACTGTGCAAAGTAAATTTGTGCTTTGTTAGGTTTTGTCACGGGAATCGGATCTCTCGGCTGCCCATGGCGCGCGGTCAGTGGCTAGTTCTCGTCTAACGTATGGTTGACATTTATGAGATTCTTGGCCTCTGCCCGTCGCGCTGACTGTTTGTTTTGCTCAGCAGCACGGGTATAATGGCATATAAATAGTAATGGCAGACAGCAGCCAAGTCGTCATCGAATAATGCAGATGCGCTCCCGACGCCGTCGCCGTCGCTGACTTTTGTGACTTTTGCACAGTATTTGCTTTCCCAATGCAAATTATTTTGGGCACGTCGATGACGTACACGATCCGAAAATCTCGTACGAGTCGTACGAGTGCTGGCTAATTGGGCTGCTTGTCCCTCAGCCCTCAGCCCATTTGTAGTTTTCGTTCCGTTTGCGTGTGTGTGTGTGTGTCCCACTGCAAGGATTTAAATGAGTGAATAAATACAGGGCTAATTAGCTGACGAGGTCCACTACTCATATGCGCACGCACGCACGCTCTCACCTGCAGTGTGGCCCAGGGAATCGCCGGGGACCTCCCTCACATGGTGTGCGGACAGTGGAATCTGAAAGGATTCAAAAAATCAATACGGCTCAGTCATACATTGTAATAACAGTCGCCACACTCGAAGGCAACCAGGGGGGAGTCGCGAGTCGTGGCGGTAGTTGCTCCGGCAATGCCTGGGCGCCAGCACGAGACATGGGGTGGATTGACAGGGGTGGGTGGCTGCTGCCGAAACGGCGACGTAACAACATTGGCATGCTGTGGCTATGCTATGGCGCCCACACAGTCACCAGAGAGACGCACATACACACCACACGCGCGTCGCGCTATGGCGACATCACTTCACTTCATTAGCACACCGCGCTGCGCCTATGCTGGGCTCGCGGGTGATTTATAATTAGCAGACCATTGTTGCCGCCAAACGATGCTCGCCTTGGATGGCGGCGCACGATGTCCACGATGATGATTGTCTCGCATTCAAGTTCAGGTTCAGGCGCACACACTCGAGTGTGCAGGTGCCGCATTGACAAGTCAAATATTTCCTACCTGCTGGACACCTCTCAGTCGAACGCCTTTCTCGCTGAAGAACTGCTTCACTGCCAGTGGCACAACATTGTTTGTGTAATTCAAAATATTGTGGAAAATTCGCCGCGGCGCGATGTTTAGCGATCCGTGCAGTGTGCCCGCGGATTTATCTTTGAAGTATACCGAAATATACCTTCTAATATTGGAAATATATCGTACATATACCGATGAAAATCAAACATTCGATTCGATTTAAACGTTTGTCATCCAGGTATGAATATGTAAAAAAAAACTTGTGAATCTAAAATCTATCTACTTAGCTTTGGCAGAAGCTTGAAAAACAGAATTTTAACATATATTAAAGAAAATAGGGTATACAAAGCGTCCATACTCCATTAATAAGTAGTTAATATGTAGCATCAGTGTAGTTACCGGGTAGTTACCATGTAAAAAAGGATATCTTTTTATTTTACCTTATTTGACCATCCAAAAAAGGAAGTCTTTCAATTTAACTAGACTGTAGAAAATTGATTAATCAATCTGATAAAGTTATATGTTCTGTGTTGAGAGTCCAAACTGGCTCGTAATATTATTCCGAATATCAAAATTGAGGAATACGATTTTACTTGGTATATTTACGGTATATATTGAAAATGAAAAGGTACATTTCGGTATTATTTTGAGGGTCACGCCGGTTTATTTTATCGACAAGTCTCGGTCACACTGTTTGTATCGCGGTTTTTCGGTCCGAGAAAATAAATATAAATTAAAAAATCCGCGGACTAGCACAATGGCAGCCCAGACCATACTGTTCGACTTCACGCTGGATAGTGCCAAGACGGCCGACGAGAAGCAACGCCAGGATGTGGCCAAGATACTGCGGAATGAGCTGGAGCACGTCTTCCCCCAGCTAGAACTGGTCTATAGCATGGAGTCGCCGGAAAACGGCTACTTTTCGGTGCTGCACGAGAACAAGGCGACGATTATCACTTGCCGCATCTTCCAGCACGGCCTGCTGACCGTCAATGTGGAGTACTTCCTGCCCGCTGGCAAGGAGCCCATCATGTCCTTCGACGTATGTAGAGCTATTCTATTCCCCCCCACCAGATTATACCGACTACACTCCCTAACCCCTAACCCTGCCACACGAGAAAACACGTCGCTTTCTGGCGTTGATTAACTGGAGAAAGGGTTTGTTCCACCAGCATGGAAATTGATTTTCCGCACACATTCGAGTGCACGTTTCTGTGTGTGTGTGTGTCTCGTGCCGGCGGCGGGGGCGTGCCAGACCGTTTTCCCTTCCGCGTCGTCGATGCCGTGCCTCGTGCTGTTCTATCCCCAAACCCTTGGCCTCTGGGTCACTCATGGGTTTGCTTGTCCTTGGCCTCACAATGCGGTTACCGTGGCCCTAATGCCAATGCCACCATCCAAAGCCTTAAGTATTATCTAACACCTCCGCTAACCGATGTTGCTGGCTTTATACATACTTATGTATGCATATCATCTGACGACGGGCCTAACACTAGGCTTTTATGCTAGATTACCTCACCAGTCCCCCCGCCGCTACCGCTCCCGCGCTCTCTTTCTGGGAAGCACGTGGGGTTCAAGTTCAATGATTGAAATTCGGCTCCATGCCACAAAAAAAATCAGCGCGAAACATATGTAGATAGTGCGAGAATACACACATGTACATATGTATGTATGTATTTTGATGCCGGTTCTGCGGCTTCCCAAACAAGCATTCTGTGTTTTTTTTTTCTTGGTATTGTGCAATTGGCATCTGCATGTGCAGCAGAAGCAGCAGCAGCTGCAGGCCTGCCTCGGGCCATATTTATGGCTCGGTCGATTTTATTCACTTTCCTTTTTCATAAGTATCCAAGTATTTGCGACTATAAATAGTTTTGCCGGCTGGGCTGCCTAAGCGGGGGGCGCTCGTAGAGTTAGCTATTTTCATTTATTTTGATTTGTTCATCCATAACCCTTCCGTGCCAGCATTTGTGTAAGAGGTTTAAATAACGCATTACTTTGCAGACCATGCGCACCATGGAACTGATTTTGCGACAGAAATTAGATTCCGATCGGTCCAAGTACTTGCCACCGATAAAGCGCGGCGGATATATCGACATATACATGACTAGCTCAGGTTGGTCGAATTAGTTTCGTTCCATTTGCAAAATAAATACAATATAACCTCATACCAAAAAAAAAAAAAACACCTACTACCCACTATCCAATATATTCGTGCCACTTTTCCACCTGACAATCCGTGCAACTGCCTCTCAAAATTCCTGCTGCAACGCCTTGAGCGTACGTGCAGTAATGTCTTCCCCAAGGCCTGACCTGACAGAAATTCTATGCACAACACATCATAAATCTAATCGGTTTGCCACTACCACCACCCACCCACCCCCACTAACATACATACATATGTATAGCGTTACATCCTAGTAAAAATACGAATTACTTAGGACGTTCCTGCATGCTTGTTCCGACACGCTACTAGTTTCCATTACTACGGACCTCAAAGTCGGCCGTCGGCCCGGCCGTTCTTTGTATTGTACCTAATTATTCCTTCCTCTGATTGATTTATAATTGTTATAATTTTTGTATACTTTTTATTTCCATATTCAAACGATCTATCCGATCGCTCATCTTCGCGCCATGAACAACCAACCACATCTCGGGGCCACTTGCAATCCAACAACAAAACAAACAACGAAAAACGATAAACCAAAACTGAAAATTCACCAAAATTAATCTGAATTATAAATTAATATGTAAACTATTGAAATTATACTTATACGCCCTATGCACACCATGTGTCACCTGCCCTGCCTCGCCTCGTTCGCCTCGCTCCTACGTACGCTCGCTCGCTCGCTCTCGATCAACAACAACAATTACACCTACACCAACCACCAACCACGAAACGAACGAACCACCACCGAACCCCTCTACTAGGGCTTGGTGCATGGCAAGAGCTTGGAAAATGCCTTGGCCGTAAAACTGAAGGCCATTAGGGGACAGAAGCTGCCCGCCCTGAGGCGCGGTGATGTCCCTAGGTACTTTCCATCGTCAGGTAACGTATACTCTTTGGTTTTCATATTACAAAAAAAATAGAGCAAACAATCTACTGATATACTGATATGTATGTACAAAGTACATCAAGTGTGTACGTACGTCTGTACTTCGTATGAATGAACGTTGAGCGTATGCAGCACCGAGCTGATGTTCTGAGAGTTCTAGAGGCACCAAGCATGATAGATTCATTTCAGCCATTTTTCGTTCTTTCCGATTTTCGGTTACTTTCTGTCGGACGACTCTCACTCCTTCGTTTGCGGGGAGAGTCTCTTTGTTACTTTGATGTCTTTTCTATATTGTCTTATTTTCGGTTCGTTTTGCTTCGGATACTACTCAGTTGAGTATCAAGCATGCCGCTTAGCCACCAGAGCCAAATTAATTCGCCTACAGTCAGTATGTTGAAGTGTATTCTAATAGTGGTTAATCTTTCGCAGATGAGCGCATCATTGAGTACGATATCGACAAGCTTGTTTACGAGGAGCGTTCGCCTTTCCAGAAGATTCAAATCTTGCACTCAAAGACCCTGGGCAACATGCTGCTGTTGGACGAGCTTCAGAGTAAGTGGCAGCCAGCCAGCCAATCAACTAGCGAGGCAGCATTGAGAATGATATTAAATTACACTCTTGGCAGATATTGCCGAGTCCGATCTGATCTATACGGAAACCCTGATGGGTCGTGGCATTGAGAACTATGAGGGCAAGGAGATCTGCATACTGGGTGGCGGGGACGGCGCCCTGCTGTACGAGCTGCTCAAGGAGAACCCCAAGCATGTGGTGATGCTGGAGATCGACGAGCTGGTTATGCAGGCCTGCAACAAGTATCTCAACTCGATTTGTGGCGATGTTCTGGAGAAGCGCAGGAGCGACCAGTACGAAATCGTTGTGGGCGACTGTGTGGAGTACTTGAAGAAGTTCATTGCCGAGGGCCGCAAGTTTGATTATGTTTTTGGTGACCTCACCGACATACCCATAACGGGGGAACCTGTCGGCGTCGACTGGGACTTTATCCGGACCATTTTCGAGCACTCGTTCAAGGTGCTGAAGCCCGATGGCAAGTTCTTGACCCACGGCAATGGCACCAGCTGCACTGAATCTCTGGAACTGTTCGAGGAACAGCTGGCCCTGCTCAAGCCGAAGGTTAAGTACACCACGTCGAAGGCATTCGTTCCGTCATTCATGGAAGAGTGGCTCTTCTATCAAGTGACTTTCGCTTGACCAGCTCAAGGCGAACGACCGGCAGAGCGACGACTAGGGGGCAACGGAGACCAGCTACAATTACCAGCACCAGCAACTACCATAAAGACGGATAATACCACAATGTGTCTCCGGAATGTTACTTCCAGCACACCATCAATACCAGCAGCAGCATCACCACACCACAACGACCAGAGCGGGCCCAGAACCAGAACGGAGCTTGAACTAGGGGAGTCGCTCATCAAGCTGCACTCGTACACAGTCACTCTGCATGGAGCAGCAGAAGCCGAAGTCAAGCAGGAGCTGCCCAAGCTACGGCAGCGTCGTCGCCAGCTACGTGTGCACTATCACCATTCTCTGGTTTCTTAGTGGACTCCAATGTCATCGCCATCCGCATCGCAGCATAGCTCAAGGCAGAACCCCCCCTCAAAACGCACTTCCAATGGCTGTTACTTACAAATGAAAACAAAACCAAATATTTATCCAATTCGTTTACGTTTAAGTTAGAAGCTATGTAGTTCTGTTCTCGTTCACTGATTATTTCACTAACTAAATTTAAGTCGAAAGTACAAGTCTCAACAACGGGGGCAGGGGCAGGCCACACCACAGTTTTACGTATTTGTTTGTGTTTAATTAAATTACTTGTAAGCGTGAAATGTATTCGTATTTGTAGTACATATTCCCTGTAATGTATATCCTATGTGTGTACTCGTAGTGCATATGTTTAGTTTTCCGTTTACTGGCAAATGTGAGGAGTATGAGGCGGCAGGCTCAGGCTCGCCCCAGCCAGCTCGTGTGCTCGTGAGGGTATGTGTGGAACGTAGCACTCAACACCATCGTTTATTGCTGTACAATTCATAATACAACTTATTTCACTTGAAGTTTAAATGAAAATACTTGAAAAGTAATAAATAGTCTAGTCGTACGCAGAACAAGATAGTTTTCCTGTTTAAATAACATCTGGAATTGGATACCTGTCGAGTTGTCATAAAATGTCGAGGTGACGAGGTGGAGCTCATATTTTATCTTTTGTTCAAGGTACTTTTGAAAATGACCACCAAACTCTAACAACATTTTTTTCTTCGGTATATTTTGAAAATGTGAAGGTAGGTTTTTCATAAGTGCTTTTCATATTTCACATTTGTTTACGGCTGAGAGGGCCAACTATCTAGTAATATTAAACTGAATATCAAAATTGACGAATTTCATATCACAAAAAATCATGGTATGGCAGCCCGCAGCAACTACGAATTGCACGAGTCTGGCAACGCCACAAAACGACGTCACATTCGTTTTATGTTGTTTTTGTTTGAACCTTAATATGGAAATAATCCAATAAAAAGGACTTCTGAAAACTTACCAGTCTTGTAGAAAATGTATGTATCTATCGGATACAATTATTTGTTTAGGGCTGAGAGTCCCAGCTAGCTGGCAATATTAAACGGAATATCAAATTCGAGGAATATCAACGTTGAATGTTTTGGAGAAAACAATCGATACTATCGTAATAGTATCGGGCTCAAATAATAATTTAAAAACCATTGAAACCTTTTAGGTTAAAAACCAGCTGTGTTTACAAATTTATTTTATAGCAGCCAATCCAAACATAAGTTGTGTGAAATATGGACCGGAAACTACACAGTGGCATGCACCATCCCACCCTGCGACTGCTGCAGGAGTCGGGTTGTGAGATCTCGCCGCACAACCTGATGTACCCCGTCTTCATTGTGAGCGACGACGACGATGTGCAGCCGATCGCGAGCATGCCAGGGATTTCGAGGTTCGGCGTGAACCGGCTGCGGGAGCACCTGGAGCCGCTGGTCCAGAAAGGGCTGACCTCCGTGCTGCTTTTCGGCGTGGTCGAGTCCGAGCTGAAGGACGAGGAGGCCTCGAATGCGGACTCGGCGGTCAACCCTGTGGTGCGAGCTTTGCCCAAGCTGCGGGAGTGGTTTCCCGATCTGCTAATCGCCTGCGACGTGTGCATCTGTCCGTATTCGTCGCACGGCCACTGCGGGCTGCTGGGCAAGGCGGGTCTGGAGAACGGACCGAGCATAAAGCGGATTGCCGAGATCGCCGTGGCGTACGGACAGGCTGGTGCTCACATCGTGGCTCCCTCGGACATGATGGACAATCGCGTACGGGCCATTAAGCAGGCCCTTATCGACGCGAGCCTGAACAGTGTCTCTCTGCTGGCATATTCCGCCAAGTTTGCGTCCAACTTCTATGGTCCGTTCCGGGAGGCGGCTCAGTCGGCCCCCAAGTTTGGGGACCGTCGCTGCTACCAGCTGCCCAGCGGATCCCGCAGCCTGGCCATGCGCGCAATTCAGCGCGATGTCAGCGAGGGAGCGGACATGCTGATGGTGAAGCCCGGCATGCCGTATCTGGACATTCTGCGGCAGACCAAGGACTCCTATCCCTACCACACACTGTACGTGTACCAGGTGTCCGGAGAGTACGCCATGCTCTATCACGCCGCCAAGGCGGGCGCCTTCGAGCTGCGCGATGCCGTCCTCGAGTCCATGAGAAGCTTCCGTCGTGCGGGTGCCGATTGCATCATTACCTACTACACCCCCTACCTGCTGGACATCATCGGCAGAACCGCCTAAAGAAGTGCAAAAGACTGAACCATCGAAAGTCTCAAAAATCGTGCAATCCATACCCACATACATACGTATGTATGTATATGTAAAACAGGTTTCCTCGGGTATCGTCTTTAGTTTTATAGAATTGTCATTGTGTAATTCATGTGTAGTCACCATGGTGCTGCTGTCGTCAGAATAGACTTTCATATATGTACGTAAACAAATGCGTATCTGCGTGCTTATCAATCGATCCGATTTGGAAGTCTAATGTGCTGTGTTGTGTGCTGTGTGCGGATGTACGTGTGGGGCGACGCATATGGAATTTCAATTGTTTGGTCGAATATTTCGCAATGTTTCAGCGGGCGAACCGGTCGAACCAGTGGGTCAGCGAAAGTTTGGTCCGGGTACAGATGATGACATTTAGCACTTTAATTTAGGCCGATTTCGATTTCAATTAGAGCTAAATATATCATGTATATATGTATGATGTGGCGAACACTGAACACTATAGCCTATAGCTCTTATTTGCTAGCCTAGGCCTAGTGGCTCATAAAATTGGTACACTTTCAAGTCTTACAAAACGATAAAATCACAAAATCAAATGCAATAAGTACATGGGGAAGGGGGGATCATTGGATCGAGATAAAACAATTAATTCAAGGGGAAACTAGAGCTACGTACGAATAGTCGTGTATGTGTGTGTGTGTGTGTGTGTGTGTGTGGGAGAATACTGAGTGCGTTTTAAGGATTGCTTTGATTGCGATTTATGTGGAATTATGGCTATCGCTGGGATGCAGCCTGCCTGCCTATTTAAGGGCTCTCGGTATTATTGATCTGGCTGTGCTCGAGGATGTCGGTGTTATGCATCGGTTCCACGTCCGTTTCGGAGATGATCTCGGCCAGCCACTGCTCAATTTGCACCGGATGGAAGGAGTCCTCGTCCCCACTGTTTGCCTCCAGGATGATCTTCAGGTTCTCAAAGTTCTTCAGAACCAAGCGCCTACCCGGCGCTATCTGTGACCCCGACACCGACATCGACTCTGTGGCCTGGCTCTGAGTGTTGATGGTGGTGGATGTGGAGACGTCCTCTTGCCTCGGCGGCTGCACTGTGTTGGAGTTAGCATCGCAGCTGGAATCGGCAGCAGCTGTCTGCACCGACGAGGTCGTTGTGGGTGCCTCTGACTCTGGCTCCGGCACATTGTTGTATGGCCGGCGCGGCTTCTCCTTCAAGCTCTTCTTGATCTCGTTGAGCAGGCGATTGTAGAAGTCGCAGGTGACATCGTGAGTGTCTACCTCCTGAAAGCGATAGCCGTTCCGTGGTGTGGGTGTAGACTGGCCAGAGCCGGATGCCACCTGCTGCTTTGGCGGCTCCTCCGCTGCCGCCTGCCGCGCATGCTTCTTAGACTGCTTCTTGGACTGTGAACGGGAGCTAGCGTTGCTCGAATAGTTCGAGCTGGAGGCGGTGGTTGTGGGAGTGGACTGCGACTGCGATTGAGACTGCTCGGTGGTACTGCTGGAGTCGGCAGACTTGACGATCGGTATATCAGCACTGACGGCCTCCTCGGTGGCGCAGTTGATCGTCAGGCTGGCAATGTTGCGCAGGTTGATGGTGCCGTTGCAGTTGTTGATTGTGATTTTTGGTTTGAAGCGCTGCTTGCGGCCCTTGGGCTTGGTGGGTGGATCCGCCGATGGCAGCTCGAGGCAGCTGCTCTTCGACTTGGCCGTCTCTCGGCCCAGACTGGAGACGGCATCGGCTATTGACGACTCCAGCTCATCGTCCAGCTCCTCCAGATTAAGCGGCGGCACGACCACGGGCACGGGGGGCTCGCGCTTTATCTTTGCCTTGCGTATAAGTTCCTTGGCCTCCTGCAGCGTTATGTTGATAATGGAACGCTTGGCGTTGTCCTCGACGACGGTCTTGTTCCCCGAAAAGTCCACAACTATGGCTTCGGGTTGCGCCTCGTCCTCCAGGTCATAGTATGAGATCTTGCGGTCCTGCAGGCACTTGTACATCGTATCGTGGTCGTCCAGCGGCTCGATGTAGTCCTCGTTGCGCAGTCCAGTGTTCCGATAGTCTTGCAGTGCCAGCTGCATGTTGCTGTTGCTGTCCAGCAGGAAGTGGCCAAAGCTGCGTATGGCTGCCAGCAGCTGCTCCTCCTCGTCAGTGATGAAGCGGACACCGCCCTGGTCCGTGTCCGGGCTGTCCACAGGCGACGACTTTAGCTGCTGCTGCTGCTGCTGGGTGTTGGCGATGACCTCCAGCTGTCGCAGCAGCAGCTTCTCGCGCATATGCAGCGCCGCGCGAACCTCGTTGAACTTCTTTTGTACATTGCCTTTGACCTGGAAACCCGAATAGAAAAAGGGTGGTGCAAAGGCAAACAATTCGATCCACTCACCTCTTCCAGAATCTTGTCCATGGCGACTACTCTGTCAAGGCTGCGCTGGAGCACAGATGTTCGCTATTGTTGCTATTGCATGGTGTTATTAACTTTTTTACAAATTGCTAATTTTATCGAAAATTTCGTCTTTTCGCCTGCCTGAGTGTGACCGCGGATTTATTGATCAAATATACCATCTGAACCCCGAAAATATACCGAAATTTTGCAAAATATACTATAAATATACCCTTAATGATTTGTTTCGTCCAGGGTAGAACTATTGCTAAGGTACGGACACAAGTTGCCTATTTCGGGGGCCATATTAATATGTCAATATATCTTTCAACTTAAGTTTAGGTGTACTTAAGGTGTAGAAACATCCATTCTCAATATCCTGCAACCACTGAGCAAACTCGAACCTCGGCGCTATGCTATGGTAAGGTATGGTCAACGAGGGTAAAACACAGCAACACAAAGGACATGGCTATACAAACCTCACCTCACCTTAGGCACACCTTAGGTGCCAGCAAAATTTGAAGGCGGTCGTATTTAAAAGAACTTCACGAACACTTGAATGAAACATGTTTCGGTCGGTAAGGGGGCCTATTTGGGTTCGGTGTTTGGGGGGCTAGTGTACGATTGTTTGGGGCATTTGTTTTGCCGTCTGCTCCGTCATACTCATACTTGCGGCGGAAATGAGTCCGGAGAGCGTTTCAAAATTTGCTCTCTTTTCAGAGGTGAAGAGAGCGTTTTCGTGGTGACTTTTCGTGGTGTGAGAAACATGTTCTTAACGGGAACGCGTAAGGAATGAAGATTCATTGTTGCGTCATGGGAAAAAATTCAGCAACATGTGGAAATGAAGAGGCAGCATTGTTGTGCAACTTTGGCACGGAATGAGCAACAATTCTGCATACCTTGGGAAAATGGATATATGGACTTGAGATATTGTTTGTAATTTCAGAATGCAGAAACTACTCTTAACGAAATTTTGCAGCTCGCTGGTACCAATAATAGGTATCAGAACCGGGTTAAATGTATTTTGAACATTTTGGAAAGGTAGTAAATCATACTGACAGACGATAGTGATCAAAATATTGCTAAGGTTCGGGGACACAAGTTGCCTATTTCGGGGGCCAGATTAATATGTCAATATATCTTTCAACTTAAGTTTAGGTGTACTTAAGGTGTAGAAACATCCATTCTCAATGTCCTGCAAACACTGAGCGAAGTCGAACCTCGCTCGAACCTCGGCGCTATGCTATGGAAAGGTATGGACAACGAGGAAAAACACAGCAACATAAAGGACATGGCTATGCAAACCTCACCTCACCTTAGGCACACCATAGGTGCCAGCAAAATTTGAAGGCGGTCGTATTTAAAAGAACTTCACGAACATTTGAATGGTCGGTAATGGGGGCCTATTTGGGTTCGGTGTTTGGGGGGCTAGCGTACGATTGTTTGGGGTTTGGGGCATTTGTTTTGCCGTCGCGTCGTGAATTGTGTGTCGTGGAGGAGCGGACGAATGTCTCTGGTTCCGTGATTCTGTTTTCCGCTTACGTTCGAACAGTCGGAATATTGAACATTTTGGAAAGGTAGTAAATCATAGTGACAGACCAGACGATAGTGATCAAATTTAGCTGGAACAAAAATTCAGAATTTACACGTAGTCAGCTGCAGTTGCCGTCTCGCCGCGTTGCCGCCTTTGCTCCACGCGTCAAGTGCTTGATTGTCATGATTTTGTAATTGTTTTTGAATGCGGCTCTTGCATTTGCATGTGTTTTAATGTTTTTGTTTCTGTCTTTTGTGTTTGTTGAAAACGGGAAAGAAATGTCGCGTGTCAGACGAGAGAAAAATGTTTAAATAACAATCGCAGTCGCCGTCGTCGTCATCGTCGCCGCCTCAGCAGCAGTTTGTTGTTGCTCGCTCGCTCTAGCCAACTAATTTGAACTGCCTACGTGTGTGTGTGTGTGTGCGAGACTGAGTGTTGGTGTGAGAGTGTTGTGACTTCTGCTTTTGTGTGTGTGTTTGTGCGACTGACTTTGCCAGCGTGTTTTTGCTTTGCTGGAAGAAGAATTGTTTAAATACAACATGCCACACTCTCGGATTTTGGTTTTGTTCCAAAAGACAAGCAAAAAGCATCGCCAGAGATTGGAGAGAGACTAAGCAAAGCAAAGCAAAGTAACAAACAGTAACAGAGAAGCAACAAAGCAGAGAGCCAGAGCGAGAGAGTGCGAACTGTGTCAATGCGGCGGCGGCAGCGCCAATGACGCCAAAAAACTTAAAAATATCACAAAGACTAACGTCAATAATGCAATGCCTCTGTGGTTTTCTAAAATTAATATCTTCAACTATTTTTAATTGGATTTCAACTGTCCCCTGTCCCAGCCCGTCCCCTGACCAACATGCCAGCGCCGCTGCCTGTCTGTCTGTCTGACTTTGCTTTTTGTCTTTGCATGAGTGTGCGAGACTGTGTGTTTGCCTCTGCCCTCTGTGACTTTGCGGCGGCGTGTCGTGACTGGATTCCATTGAATGTACATGTGCTCGCACACACACTCAGCCACGTAGATGCTGATTTGCTTATAAAAAAAACTTACAGTTAGACGATGCTTTTCGCTTTCTGGATTGCGTTTGTTTTTCTGTTGTCTTTTTTGTTTTCCGGTTTTATCGCCGGGAAACCTGTTTCTTGGCCAAAGATTTGCTTAGTAGTCGGGGCTTTAAATTTAACAAATTACCTCATTTAACACCAGAAACTCCCCATTTATACGTTTAAGTGCTCCGACTAACGCACACTAATTAAAAGCTAACTATTACGCCTGTGGCTCGGGGATCTTCCAAGAAATTACTAGAAATACTAGGGAACCCGCTCCATAAAGTAAAACTCTAATGTTTCGGTTCTTCTTTCAGTTTTAAAAAATAACAAAGAAAACAAAAGAAAACAGTGCAAATAAAAAACCATAATACTAAAAGTGTGTACCGCTGAATTTTACATCATCGACAAATATTGTTCCAACGTTCCGAATGCCATCTCTGCTGCCGAACAACAAGCCCCTCGTCGCCTAACTGTTTCTCCGTTCAATAAGGTATGTAAGTAGCATCCGAACATGTCGCTTTTGTCGATCGTAGTAGTCTTCCCATGACCCTGGCCTGCCCTCGATCTCTTTGCGCAACGCCCTCCACCTGTGTGTGTGTGTCTATTAGAGTTATGCAAAAGCTATGTAAAAGCTGTGTATAGTTGTGGGAATAAGTCTATCTACGGCCCAACACGATTCAAGATAACATCGATTAATACATGTATATAGTTTATATTATAGAAAGAGAAAAACTAAAAAATTCAGACTATAAAAACATTAATCTCTTTATTATTTGAAAGATCTTCTTAGATACAGCTCTAGCTGGTAGCTTTTGTAGTTTCTGCCTCTAAGTGATATTATAATCAGTTAAATGGAATTCTTTATACAAAATTCAATGACCGACTCCGTACAATGTCGTTGTTTATCTGCAATAATATTTATCGTCCAAATAAACTTCCACATTGTCGTACTCGGACTATAACCAGTATATCTATCATGTAAACAATCGGTAGTTTTATTTTCTCCTCTTTCGACAAATATGTTATGACATATCGTTTACATGGAAATGGGCAAACAGAAACAGCAGCATCCATAAAAAAAAATATTCAAACAAAATGAATAAAATATGAACGGCGGAACTTTCGTGGAGGGAATGCGTCTAAATGATACACTTTTTTCGAGAAAAATGAATAAATACACAACAAATATAAAGCCAAAAGATTTTGACTCATTAAGTCCACAATTAAATAAACATTTTAAATATATTTTTAGCTTTCTGTCATATGGTGCACTTGATAACACACATTCCCCCACATTCCATTCCTATTAGTAATACATTGAGAAATCGAAAGTGAGCTACTTTGGATTTGTAATTAGCCGTAACCAGCAATTTGAAGTTTCTTCTATTCTTTTGTTTTTTATTGCACTTTAATTGCGAAATAAACCCTCGCCATCGGTACCCAACGTTATCTGCTGAACTGTCAATTTCCTCGAACAGTGTTCGAACACGAGAACTGTCCATTTCAGCTGTTTTACCTTCGATTGACCCGCTGTTCCTTTTTCCACTTGGCTGGAGCGGGAGAGGATTCATTCTGCTCCTGATTTGGTCTCCAGCCGGATCATACTCCGGTTCCATCACATTTTTCTGTCCTGCCAAATTACTCTCTCTTTAACCCTATAGAAATGCTTTTTTATTGCTTCCTCATATTTTTTATGTGTAAACTTTTCGACTTTTAATTCAAGCACTACTAGAACGATCAAATTAAATTGCTATACATTGTCTGTGCAACAAAAATATGAATTAATGTACATTTTTCATCGGCAGTAAAACGAATTTTCTCACATCGACAATGGGAAAGTGCTTGGAAATACTTTTTCCTTTTGTTCCCCATATTTTTATTCGTAATTTTCTCGCCTCTCCATAAAATTAAGCTATCATCGAGCGAGGCCTTGTGATGCAGTCTCTGGATTGAGTTGAGTGGCAATCATTAAATTTACTGTAATTGCAAATTGAAATAATTGCAAAGCAATTAATCTGAAACCGAATCGACTGAAACTGAAATCAAAACGCTTTAACAACTGCCGATTTGATTGGATTGTCTCACTGCCCGCTCTGTGCCGTCGTCGGCAGTCGCAGTCGGGCGAGAGTCGGATCGGATGTGGAATGTTGAATTTCGGAGAAGGAGCATCCAGCCGAAAACCGGGACCAATTCGATAGATATAAATTGATTACTCAGCTTTAATTAGTTTCAATTTGCACAACACAATATACGGACCGGACTATTGCATTTTTCCTCTCTCACACAGCATCCCCAATTTTTTGTTTTAGTTTGGCAATCAAACCTCCGACTGAATGCACATTGTGCAATATTTCGTTTCAAATAAATAGCAATTTCCCCGAATGCCTGCAAAATAAATTACAAATATTCATGGCCCAATTCTGGAAAACTCTGGACATGGACAAAGCCAAAACCAAACGTTGGTTCTCACACACATTTTGATTCCAAATCTAAACAAAGAAAGAACGCTGGGCAGATAAATGACTCGACAAAGAGATACCCAGTTGAGTCTTTTTTCGTGTTTTTGGGTTGGTTTCTGCCTGTTGCCTTTCTGCCTGTTAAAAATAAAACATATCCTTTTTTCCCTACGAATACAGGGCATAAGCATGGAGAAATAATTTGCAAAAACTTTTGGCTATTCTCTGGCTTTGGTATCTGTAATCCGTAGTGAATAGTGTCTGTTTGTTTGTCAGTACGGAATGTTGGCCAATTGCAGGACTTTTGACTTGTGGCCCCATGATGTTGTGGCAGCATTCATTCATGAGAGTTGCACACACACACATATTCAGACTATATATAGCCTCGATTCGGGGCTTTTATCTGCTGCAATTAAAGTTAATCACTTGTCCGCAATTAGCATGGCAGCTGCGATAAGTTCGTGTCGTGCGTTTATAGCCATTAGGCGGACATAAAAATCCTCTGTTTGCCTCTGCAACGCAATCATCCTCCTCCATCATTCACATCCCCGATTTCTATTCTCATCTCTGTAGCCGGAACATAAAAATCAAATCAAATTACATTACTAATACGCCGCGTGGTTGGCTACTAGGCCAACAACAAAAAAAAACCCCCGCACACGGAAACATTTGAATTTATTCTGCAAATTTATGCTGGGTAGAGCTCCGGCCTTGGCTACGACCCGGACTCGGTCTCGGACCCGGACCCGGACCTACATTCAAGTCCAGTCCCTGTTTGTTTGTTTGTTACCTTCGTGCGCTTTTGTTATGCGTCGGAGCAGGCTGGTTGGTGACTCATGGAAAAGTCCCCTTCCGAGGACGACGGCTGTCCGGGTCGTTTTGGCTCTTTTAGTGCCTGAATCATGCATTTTTTACAATTCCTCGGCTTTTTATTGGTCGCCTTTTTGGTGGGTTAGGTTAGGTTAGGTCCTTCCGTTCCCTTCCCCGCAGGAGCAAAGTGAGCTTTTGGTTGGGGCGCAGATTTGTTTTTATTAGCAGGTCTCGGGCGGGCGTTTGCAAACAGCTTTAGCGCAGATCATAATATCATATATTCGAATGTTTTTAAAGCACTGAAGGGACAGGCTATTTCTACGGAATATACCCGTACATACGTACATATATGATTGGCCCAGAATTTTTAAGGATGGGCCCATCTTTAATTCCGCTCGATTTGAACAAGTTATAAACTTTAATTTGTATTCTTTGCAATTTTACTGCTGCTTGTTCATTTAAACTTTTGGCATTATGGAGTATGAATAATTATGAGAATGATAAAAGCAATGGAATAAAAGGTTTATTTTTATTACTATTTCGTTATCTAAAAAATACACAAGCGTAGAATTCCCAACTGAATGTTTAAGCTTATTATGTATTATTTATAGAAATTATTAATGGAATGCTATTTGGAATATTTTTCAAAACAAAAATTGATTGAAAATAATATCATTTAATAATTCCCAATTAAATGTTAAAGCTGGATTAATATTTATGCAAAATGTACATACATATCAATAATTATTATTTGTTTATTATTTGTGGCATCGATAGCCTTTGGCTATGAACGAGCGGATGTAGGGGCTGTTTGAGGCAAGAGCAATCGGCTTGGATCTGGGATCAATGCATAAAATTAAAGGGCGTTTGATTTAAATGTAAAGAGTAGTTTATTTATCTAATAATCACACATCGAGGGTTAAGCAAGAACAAATAATCCGTAGACAACAAAGAAGAAGTCGATTAAAGAGTATGATATTGTATAAGTGAGTGGGAAAAAGCTACATTCTTCGCTGTGCTCGAGAACCAAGATAGGAAAAAAGGGCAGCTGAGTTCTCAGCAATTCTCAATTAGATATTCATTTCGCATTCTCTCAACCTCTAAGCTTCTGGCTCATTAAACCCCCGTTCTTGTCTTAGCCATCTGGATATCAAGATTACAAATTGTGTGCTTTTTTCCGGTTCACCTTCGTGAACGGGCCATCATTCCATCATTCTGGCCAGGGACTCGATTGATGTTTGCCAATTCGCCCCAACAAAAAAGAAATACGTAGAGTACGCAGCCGTATGCAGTGCATTTTTTGTGCAATCCAATACTAATGCGCCATGATTTATTAAAAAATCGGCCACTCGCACTCACCCGTACCCGATGCTCCATGGATTTTCCTGGACACAGAGATGCACACTCACACTTGAAGTCAATCCCCAGAACCAATGGAACTGATTGAGGGGAGACCCACAGAGCCCACTGAACCCACTCGACGAACTGAACTATTCATCTAGAGAGCAGACGGTCCGGACAAGTAATCTCCTTAAAATGCAATTTGTTTTGTTGCAATCAACGATTTTTGATGATGACGACGACTGGTGACCAGCAGCCCCTTCGTCAGCAAGGGTCCTGCGAAGGATGCGATGACTACGATGATGATGATGATGATCGAATGCGAGTTGGGTAACAATTTGCAGCGTGGCCAAATAAATTGGTTGTTATTCTGCCCCTACTCCCAGTCGTCGTTCTGCCGTACCTTCTGCACACACACACACCCTCTCCTCTAGGATGCCACCAGGATGGCGGCACTCCTGGTCTCTGCCTCTAAAAAATGATGGAGATGAAAACAAAATTTGTAGGATGCTTCTGGTGTTTTTTGTTCGTGCATCACCACGCCACTGCCACCACTTGGCTCAAACTGGTTGCCTGGCTGCCTGGTTACCTGGTTGCCTGGCTGCCCCTCTGATGCATGGCCGTGGCAATGCGGTTTGAGCGTTCGTTGCGACAGCCCCCAAACTGGTGGCAGACGGACGGATGAGATGGATGAATGGCTGGGATGCCCGAGTGCCGGATTGGCGGACTAGCTGACTGACCGACTGACCAACCGCCACTGGAATGAATGCATCACAAAATGGGGCGAGGACTAGCAGGAGTGGAATGCCTCGGGGACTTACAGGTGCAGCACACACACACACACAAGCACACAAGAGCCCTCTGAAAGGATATCCCTGGATTG